TAGCAAGAAGAAAATATAACTTTTACATAGAAATAAGTAATTGACTTTATATAGAAAAATTGACCACAATATACAATGAACAATGTGATAAAATATTAATGACTGTATTAAATAAAATTATGCAGATATTTTTATATTTATTTAAAATATTCAGACTAACTCAATTAGTAAATTAAATCTCAATTTATTGAAAAAAATTATGGCAGAAATGTTTACATTTGCTTGACAAAATTTACATGCATAAATTGATTTTATCATTAGTTTACTCCTGGTAACATTTTATATAAAAAAAATTATTGATTTTCTCAGATGGCATTTAGTATATATTGTATTTAAATAATAGCTATTAACTGAAATGAAGTAGAAAAATATCATATATGAAAATTATAGAATAGAAAAATTTCTTAATTAAATTGAAATTAAATTCATTTGGATAGAACAATAATTCTTCAAATAGCCCTTAATTCAGCAATATACTGTACAATATGAATAATTCAAAACATTGTTAATTTCAAATTATTGAAAACATTATTTTACTACACTAGTGTAGGCAACTATTATTTTACTTGTAAAGTTTTTAATAATTTTAAATTTCTAAATCATGTATCTTCTGAACATTTTTTACTATACTTATCAGTTAATTTTCAGAAATAATTCATTTCTATAAAGCTGAAGTTTATGAAGGGCACACTTTAGTTGAATGGAATTAGTTGAAGTTGGCTGAACAAACTGAAAACATTCCTAGTAAATTCTTATTTTTGGTTTCTTTAAAAAGCAATTTGAGTTTCTTTTCATTATTGTTCATTTAATAACAACTCTATTAGTGAAATGATAAGACATGTATTAACAGATATTATATATGCTGATGTGCATAAATCAGGAAAGTAAAACAAATTCAAATATATAAACAAACCTGTACAGAATTTAATCTAACTATGTATAGGCATACATTTTGCTTTAACTCAAACTTCTATAAAATACCAAATACTGTTCATTGTGACAAACATCAGTGGTGATCTGTATATATATTTGCATGTTGGTCCAATGACAAGTAAAAAAATTTATAATTGTCAGGTCTTAAGCAGATATAAAAATAAAATTAAAGCATATCTGTTGCATATGGTTTGGTTAGGAGTATGTACCATACTACAAAAATTAGGTGTAGAAGCATATCTTCTTCTACACCTAATTTTTGAAATATGGTATAAAATAAAAATACATTTGAAAGGGGTCAATTTTCTAGTACAAAAATATTGGAAGAATACATTCTTCTAGAAGTTTTTGTTTCATAAGTTAAGTTGTTCTTAGAGGAAGTTTATTATCTGTAAACATCCTGGCATACTCAATGAAATTTAAGGACTTGAGGCTTGATTAATTCATTTATCATACATCTTCACTTTCAAGGTATTCATCCTCAAATCTCACCTCATGAGGATGGATATTATCATTACTTAAAACAAAATTTGAATCAAGAGAATCTCAAAGAAGTGCACATGGGGTTCTAAGATCTCATCTCAATATCGTGCAATATCAAAGTTTCATTATTGACAGCATTAAGTGAGATGTAAGCAATTAATCATGATACCTATCCACACTAGTGTCTCTCCACTTCTAAAACTGTTCCTTTCCATTATATTGAAGAAATGATTTTGAGCACTAAATTTTTCCCAGATATATTGGTACTGGGCTCCATATTTTGTGGAGCCCAGTGCAAAATATGATGTTTTCAAGATGTTGAGAGTCAAGCAGTAACTGAGCACAAGCCCTACTAATATACAGGTACACACTCATGATGCATGCTGCCCTGGTGCTAAGAATCATTTAGTAACAAAACTCAACCCATCTGTAGAGTAAATTTCCTTCTGTTCAGCTGTCCAATTTTAACTGAGTTCAATTCATACAATTTTAATTGAGAATTGATACAAACCTACCTGTTGTTGAGGCAAATTCCAAGGATAGTTGCAAGCAGTCATGTCTATTGTGCTTTGCAGTTAAAACTACTTAGTGTTCAACCTCAACCATTGTGCCATATCAACCTTTGGATATCCATTTAGTACATGTTTCTCTCTCTCAAAACTGTCATAATAGTCTTGAAGTGAATTTTTGGAAATATTTGTATATCTGAAAGCTGCTGCTTGACTTCAAACAATTTCCATCCTGTTGATGGTGCTCTACCTCTAATTGTCAACTTCAAATCAACAAAAACATTTAGCTTTCCCAAAATGTTGCTACATCAAAAATTGAAGGAAGAGCATTTGCAGAGCTGATTTTGTTATTCCTACTTTACATAAGTGTTACTGCATTAAAACATTTGCATACAGTTTTACTAATCAGTGAATAATCAGAATGCCTGTAGACATTCTAGTTTTAATTGAAAAAATCAACTTCATTCTTTTAAAACCAGTAAAACATGAAACTTCTTTAATTTAAACACACTAATGAATATTAATCAGGTTCTTTTTGAACAACTTGGAAGTGTGTTAAACAATTTACGAAAACATGAACCCGACAATACAAGCATTTTGAAAAATATAAAAGAATTAAAGATTAACCTATAAGGTTAATCTTTAATTCTTTAATTCTTTAATTAAAGATTAACCTATAAGGTTAATCTTTAATTCTTTTATATTTTTTATATTATAGGAAATCTTTTATATTATAGGAAACACTAAACTTTTTAAACTAAAAGTTAATGAACAAAACAGTGTTAGTAAATGAGAATAATATCTTATTGAAAAGTGCATGTTCTTTTGTTATTCTGTTCTGTGCCTAATAAGATAATAAGAAGTTTTTATCTTTGTCATAAACAATTTCCAAGAATTTTAAGCCATGTCTACAGAAGCAAAGATCAAAAAATTCAAAAATATAGAAGCTATTTTTAGTTATTATTCTGCTAGCTAGTTAATTCTATTCTAGTTTTTCTGATATCTCTTGCAGTTAAACTAGACACATCCAAAAGATTTATATTTTTAAAGTTATTTTAGTAGCTTGATAAGAGAACATTACAATCTATATATATTTTAAAAATAGTTCATTATTGGAGTATATCATGCAGTATTGGCTTTAAATAGGCCTGTATGTCAATGAATAATCACAAATCAGCAATATACCTCATATAACATAAGCATTTTTAGTACTTTTTACAGTATAAAATGTAAACAATCTTAATTACTGTTTTAGGATATTTTTCCAAATTTAAAAAATTTTCCCCAAAATCATTTAGATTATTTATAGACTTGTGCATAAAAATTTTTTAAAAACTACCTTAATTGTTAGTCATTTCCACATTAGTTTTCCTGAAAACAGAAAAAAACTTTATAACAACTCTTTGCTCTAATTCCAAATCCAAGAGTATTTAGAAACTGTACTAGAGTTGCAACTGTCAATGAACAATTCAAAAGTTAGAAGGTAAACTTGTTTTAAAAAAGAAAAAAAATAAACAGTAGTGTGTAACACAACAAAAGTGACATCATCAATTTCCATACTACTAAAATATTCTTCATAGTTAATATATCTTAAAATAATTTTCATAGTATTATTTCAATACAATTACACTTTTATTGTATATATTTTATAAATATAATCTCTTAAAGATATTAATTTAGTTACAAATTTTTGTACACAAATCTCAACACAAAAACCTTTAAAAATGCAGCCTTTTTATTCACCTCGCCTTTTATAGCACTTTTTATTCTTATATGTCTAAGAAAATTCAAACGTTTTAAAAAGTTGCAAAAGAAATTTTGTTATAGAAATCGGAATCATTCGATTTTTCTGTTCCCAAGGAAGGCCATTCAAACTGGCTGAAAACATTTGGAAAAGAGAATAAAAAGGCTGCATTTTTAAAGGTTTTTGTGTCAAGGTTTGTGTATTATTTAAGTGCAGTTAGAGAAGAGTACAAATTTCTGTGAAAATTATCCTTCAGATTACACACATTATATAAGCATGATTTGTGTTATAAAATAATAATGTGTACATACTACATAATTACTTTTATTGTAATTCCTCAGACGAAACATACTCAGATTTTAATTTTTGAAATAAAAGTTGAAAATTTGATATATTCAAAATACATTCAGTAAAGTTTACTTTTAGGATAAGTATATATGTAAAATTACAGTTCTGAACAAAGGATTTGGACCCCTCAAATTTTACACCCCAGGACTGATTTCAGGGGTCTATATCTCACAAAGGGTCACATGTGGACTATTGGTTCCTTTGACTTTTTTTATTCCTATGGGCATAGTCTACAGCTTGGATAAGGTCTCAACCACCTCATTCAGGGCTACATTCGTACCAGTGTATATGTATACATATATAGCTAATAACTACTCAGTGGCATGTTATCCTAAGGACAAAAAGGGCAATTGCATGGGCCCTCACCAACAGGGTCCAAAACCTTTTATATGAAAATATTCCCCCCAAAAAATGTCTGAAGTCTGAACACTACATGGGGTCCCCTAATTCAAATTTGCATAGGGCCCCATGAGGCCATAACACACCACTGTCCCTAATATGTATTAAAGACTCAGGTAACCTATAGCCATGATGTATTTTTGAGCCAATTTATAATTAGATTTAATTATTTATTAAAGCAGTAATAGATGAACATGTTAATATTATATTTAGAAAACAAACATAAAAATTTAATTTTCTTTTATAGATTTGGCTCTTAGAAAATCAATCATACCAGAATTTAAATACTGTAAACTTCTTCCACATAAAGCACCTGAAAAATAAATCATAAATATTTCAACGCTTCGAGATCAATACATAGTTTCGTATCGAGAAAAAATAAACATAAGATACTTATGCGATAAAATAAATATAGTTACTATTTCACCATTGAAAACGTTTTTAAAATTATCATTCAAGAGTATCGTGTCTCTTATCGATTCAAATTCAAATTTTTTTTTTCCATTGTTACGTATGACAGCAGCACCGAAAACGTATTGGTCGACGATTCGGAATTTAGTTTCGTAATTATTATTTCGTGAAAATTATAAAACGTCACAAAGCTATATTTAATTGTTATTATACGTTATAATTAAGAATAAGACGGTATTTATCGTTTAAATTTGAAAGAAGTAACGCCATTAGTATATTTGTGGCACGAGCGGTATCGCGGTCAATCCCGTTCGATCAACATGGACGTCCGAGGCGAGCGTTGTTAGGATGTCAGGCGCAATGTGATTTCTTTGATCGGCAGGTGTTTAAGGCGCTTAGAAGCGCAAAAATTTCGATGGGAAAAGAACAAGAACTCATTGAAGCAGCCAGAAGTGGTAATATATTGGTAGTTGAGAGAATATTGAGCCAAAGAGCCAAGAAAACAGGACCTTTAGCGAGGTAAGACCTGGGGAACTCGCACTTAGATCCGAGGGGTGCTTGGTTCGGATGGGATCTCCGAAACTACATTATTAACACTCTAGTAATTTTCCCATTCTTTTATCTATAATTATGAAGCGAATATGAAGAATTTCGATCAGTTTTCTCCACGTTTTTGTTTTCTTACGTGCGGCATTATAAAAGAATTAACAAATAAAAATCATCCTTGTAAATATTGATCTTAGTGATGCAGAGTGATGTCATCCGGCTCTGCTGCTATCGTCATTGGAGAGGACGTGAAAGAAAACGGAGAAAGGAATAAATATATTGTGCGTGTGTGTGTCTGTGTGTGTGTGTTTTCCATGTTTTCTCTCATTTCACAAGAAATGGAACTAATACAAATATTTAAATGGTGAATTTCTGCCGGTTCGTAAATACATTTCATTACCTGCTTAATTGCGATCTCTTTGTGTGGATGGATGCAATTTAATTGATGAAAAAAATCATTTTTTTCTTACTTCTCTGCAATGCTTTAACGCGAATTTATATTTATATAGTTCCTTTTTTTTCCTTATAAAAATGGCGAAATTTATATAGTTCGTATGTCAGAATGATTAATATGCGAGATACTGTAGTCCTGTATTACACACCTGTTTTAAATACAGGTGTCAAATGATTTTAGCGAAAATATCGTGTTCACTTTAAAATTATTCCCAGCAGCATTAATTATATAAATTTTCGCGGTTTAAAATATAATTTTACTCATAAATTCCTTTTTTTTCCAGCCGATTTTACCTCCTCACATTTATCTCGTGATGTCGGATTCTGTGAAGCAATTTATATTTTTATAAGCTGTAAAAATGCTAATTTTGTTTTATTTCAATGAAATTATTTTAGTTTCTATCGATAGTTTCATTTCCTATCATCATAAACATCTTTATCTTTTTTTTGCTCCGATATCTTTCAGTACAATAATTCAAAAACATCGATTATTTTTGGCCGTAATCTTATCATAAATATAATAAAATCGGCAAAGATTATTTTATCTTAATATTCATTGTATAATCGAGTTACTTATTTACTTTCAGAATACCGATTTATCATAATTTAGCACGCGATTATCCGTAAATTTAACTTAATAAAGGTAAAAATAATAATATAACTTAATAATAATCGATACAATCTCTATTTAATACTTAAATATACAAAAAATATATAATGAAAACGTGTTTTAATGCTTTTTTTTAAACTCCAAACTTCTAATTTTGAAGTTTAGAAGGTATTCTTATGCATGTAATTATTTTAAATTATTAATTTAAATAATAATAATTTCTCCATTGATACTTGAGATCTTAAGAATTCTGAACATTCAACATTGATTTAATGGTGAAATAATGTAATGAAAACAGAAATCCAATACAAACTGTTACACAAAATCCAATTATTTTTATTCATTTTTCAGTTGAGTGTAAAATAATTGGAACGGATTCTTCTTCAAATTAAAAATGATTTATTCACAAAATTCCACACACTCAATTATAAATCTATGGAAACAATTATTTGCATCTAAGATTTCTTAATTTTTCCATTATAAAATTTAATAATAATAATTATTATTATTATTGTTTTATGAAACCGAATTTTAATTAACTCAACCACCTCATTCAGGGCTACATTCGTACCAGTGTATATGTATACATATATAGCTAATAACTACTCAGTGGCATGTTATCCTACGGACAAAAAGGGCAATTGCATGGGCCCTCACCAACAGGGTCCAAAACCTTTTATATGAAAATATTCCCCCCAAAAAATGTCTGAAGTCTGAACACTACATGGGGTCCCCTAATTCAAATTTGCATAGGGCCCCATGAGGCCATAACACACCACTGTCCCTAATAAANATTATTATTATCAATAATTGTATGCCATAATACATTAAAAAAACTAATAAAATGAACATCCTTTGGAATAAATTTTAATGTACTACTATCGAAATTAATTTAGAACATAAATTTCTTCATTAATCTTCTTTATTGAACGTTTATAGACAGCTGATTAACACCTTCCTCTTAATGATTTAGTAATTTTAAATGGAAGAATGTGAAGTGCTAGTGCTTAATTTCGGTCAAGAAAAATTTGTTTATTTAATAAATCATCATTTGCCTTTCATTTATAGTAGAAATAGAAGTGACCTTTGCATGTTTGTTAGGAAGGAAAGCTGCCACAAGATCAATAACTCAGTTCTTTTCTCAGCATTTTCTATAAATTGCGTTGTAGATATACCACTGTTAGATAATGCATTCATTAAATATACATCTACAGTATTAACTATTTAATGACTCATTGATTTTAATAGGAGAGAATGGATACTTAAGTGAGTTTTTAAACTCGAGATTTCGCCTTATTGATTTCACATGGATTTCAATATAATCGTTGGTGTAGAAGAAATGCAATTTGAAAAGAAATACGTGGCATTTTTAATAAAAAAATAAATAAATATAAACGTTGCATTTACTATAGGAATTTGCATTAAGGCGAAAAACTTAGTGTCTCATTTGTTGAACACAATATTTATTTATTGATACTGAACACGAAACAGCACTAATGATAGTTTGTCTCGCTAGGAACATATATATACACACATTCCATCTTAATATAGATATTTATATATTATTAATTAATATAATTTGATATATTTGGCATTCACAACACTCTTTATTCTATTAATAAAGCATGACCCCAATGAATAATATCGTTTGTATTGTTTTTTTTCTTTTTAATCAATGTTATAAGTTCGTTTTGGGGTGAACTCTAGCTTTAATCGTTTAAAAAAGTGAAACTTTTATCATCTGAGAAGTTAAAACATGCAAGAAATTTGCTTTATAAAGCTTAATTGAATACGAAATCTGTAAATATTATATAGCATACACCCTGTTTAAATTTTGATTCATTTACTTAATTAAATTTAACAAATCCGTCCGTGTTTTAATTAATTTTAAAGTTATGATTCATTGCTTTGTTAAGTTTAATTACATTTCGATTCATGTTTAAATTTAAAAACCAACGATTTTTGTGTAAAATCGATATATATTAAAGGCTTTTAAATAGCAAACCACCCCCGTAATAAAATAGAACAATTTCTTCTGTTTTGCATTGTAAGACCCTAAGATGTTCACCGAATTAATAATTTCCGAATTAATTTTCCAGAAAAATATCCGTAAAATTTTATAAATTACTTCCTCGGGATGTTGCCAAAAATAATTTTAAATAGAATAAATGGTCCTTTTGGATAAAGGACACGTTAGAGTTTGCAGATGTGTCGTAGTCAAAAGTTGCTAGTGGCCTTGGGGACTGTCTGGATTGCCTCTTGGAAACAACAGGTGGTATAGGGTCATGAGCTTTTTAGTGGTACGTGTTCGATAATATACGTCATGTTTTTCGATTTGTTACGATGATATCGGAAAGAATTTCATAGAAAAACATTTTTAAAGATTGCTTCCTCCATTGCAATAATAATTTTGACCTACGGAAATCGGTGATAAGATCGAAGGTCCAACTCGCTGATAGTTATCAGAAAACATTGTTTTTTCTTTATAATTTAATTGTTTGATTATTCGGAAAAAGTTTTATGGCTCAATTTAATATAGATTAGTTTTTTCAATGCAACATGAGTAACTCTCGTTAATTCGATTCAGTGATTTGTGAACTGTTAACCTGCATAAAGTAATTCGATATTAAATCTTAATATAAAGTTATGTAATGTAGTTTTAAAAAGAATAAGTTCGATTAATCATCAGCAAAAATCATTTTCCAATTTTTTTTTATTCTAGATTTTTATGTGTGATGTAAAATAAGTTAAATTACCTGATATATTAATATTAATAATGTATAATTTGATATTCACTCTGATATTATCTAAAGACAATGCTTCAATTTTTGAATTACAAAACCTTAATTATAATTAAAATATTTAAGGGAATTCCTGTTAAGATTTAAATAGAATTAAATTAGAAAAAATTATTCCTGTTTGCATCGAAAATTTCATTTTATTTAAATTTTTCTTTCGTTTGTTTATTCAGCAGGCGCTTTATTTATTTTTTTAAAATTGTTATCTCAATTAATTACTCGTTTATCTTTTGTATCTCTCGATAGCAGAATGCTTCCTGTAATATTAAATTTAAAAAATAGTAAGCTTTGCATTAAATATTTAATGATAGAAATCTGTAAAGAATAATCTTATATTTTGATACAAAAATAGATAAAACCCTACTTCATTTTTCTCTAATATTGATTTTTATTCACCTACCAACTATTAAGTCCAGGACAATGTTTTTCTTGTTAAATTTTTCTTTATACAGGATTATTTCCGGTTATATATATATAACTTCTACTTATTCCTTATACCTGTTTCTTTCAGCATGACTCTAACCTTTTTTCCTGTTTTTCTTTCTCTTTTAGCTATTTACTTTTTCATTTACTATTTTTTTTTTTCTTCTTTATATTGTTTGGAAAGCTTAAAGTCGTTAGTAAATGAAGTACAGGAAAAAATCTTTGTGTACTACACAGTTTTGCAGTTTTTAAGAGTATTTTGTACATGTTCTTAATGGAATATCTTACCTTCAGTACGCGTTTTGTGTATAAAAGATAAAATTTTACTTGAAATATAATGAATTACACCATAGATTCTTAACCTGGGGTTCGAGGACTCTACTGAATTTCTGTAGATCAATAGCTTTCGGGAGGTCGGTGTACTTTGATATGGAAAAAATTAAGTTTTTTTTTATATTTTAACCGATCTCTAATTACTTAATCCATTAGTAAATTAGCTGATAATTTTTAATAATATTTAATTAAAATAGTTATAAAAAATATATTTTAATACACAGGATTACAAAGTAAATCCATTATATTTTATTTTATGTATTTATATTATTCTGGAAGAGGTCCATGGCGCATAAAAAAAAGGTTAAGGAACCCTGAATTAGATACATTTATTTATTATATAGAAAATTGTGTGT